GCTTTGAACCACGATCCTCAGATCTCAGCCTCCTGAGCAGCTAGGATTTACAGGTGTGAGCCACCGATGCCTGGCAAACTTTGCTTTTTATTTTCTTAGTTTTATAATCTTGAAGTTCAACTCTCAAAAGTCTTTCATGAAGAAGTAGCCATCATATATTTAAATACTAGAATAGTGTTGATAGAATATTGTACAGTGATACTGTTTCAATCTGTCTCAACTAGTGGTATCAGATATGGTAGTCACTAGATACACATGACTTTTCAGTACTTGAAATTTGGGTAACTGAGGAACTAAATTTTAAATAATTTTGGTTAAGTAACTACATCTAGGTACTAGTTACTATATTCGACATTGCACCCTTGGAGTGCCTTAGGCCTTGGGATGGCTACTGGTCTGAGGATTTCTTGGTAGGTAAAGAGAGGTTTTATCTGTTAACTTCCCCTTTTTCAGAACTCATTTCCAAAGTGGAATCCTGAGTTTAGCCAGTCCTGTAATCACGAACTATAGGTAACTGGCCTTGATGCCTATGGGAAAGAGCTAGTAGCAGCACCTATGGAGTGGTTTGCTGAGAGGAAGTAACTGTGTTTTATTATCTTGAAGGTTGGAGATCTCATCTATGGCCAATTTGTGGTTGCTAATAAAGATATGGAACCAGAGATGGTCTGTATTGACAGCTGTGGACGGGCCAATGGAATGGGTGTGATTGGACAGGATGGTCTCCTTTTTAAAGTGACTCTGGGCTTAATTAGAAAGTAAGTACTGATGTCTACTAGCTTACTTGCCTTAAAAAAAAAAATTACTTGCTTACAAAGTTGATGAATTTAGATTCTTCATTAACACTTGAAATTCTCTTCAAAGTTAAAAGTCAGTATCTTATTTTAGCATATTTGAAAACTCATGAATTCTGCCTCTTTATATTCATTCACTTCTGCCCCTTCTGAAATATATCATATTCAGATTTATTTGTGTATTTTTGTGGTACCTGGGTTAAGAATCTTATTCATTTTTTCTCCCCCAGAAGGCTTCCTGCTTTTTAAAAACTGATATAACCAGCTTCCCCTCATACTAAGTCCCTTGAATACAGGTGCAGTATGCATACAGGTACAGTGTGCACTGTACAAAATTATCAGGTTTTTCTAATGGTCCAATGCAGCTAGAGCTGGGCACTGGTGGCTCACACCTATAATCCTAGCTACTCAGGAGGCTGAGATCTGAGGATCGCAGTTCAAAGCCAGCCCAGGCAGGAAAGTCCATGAGACTCTTATCTTCAAATAACCACCAGAAAACCGAAAATGGTGCTGTGGCTCAAGTGGTAGCTGAAGAGCTGAAGAACAGCACCCAGACCCAGAATTCAAGCCCCACGACTGACCAAAAAAAAATGCAGCTAGGCTCCTGGGATTGAGAATATTATGTAGACCTTTCTAGAAGGCTCTTCCACTGTGTCCGAATAGATTCAGTAGTTCTACTGAGACATATTCTGTTAGACATGTAAGACTGAACCTACCCAAAACTATATCACATTAAATGCTTTGCTTCTACAGCTATTGGCATTCAGAGGTCTCTTCTAGGTTTCTCTTTGCTTACCCATTCAGATTTGGAGATTGAATATAGAAAAACACACTATTAACTGAGCAGCAAACACTCTTGTGACTTTAAACCTGCTCCTCTCCAATTACTGAATTTAATTACCAGGAAGTAACTTACGTGGTTAGGAAAATAAGTTTAAAGAATTCTCAGCTGGGTAATGGTGGCTCATGCCTATAATCTTAGCTACTTAGGAAACTGAGATCTGAGGATCATGGTTTAAAGCCAGCCTGGGCAAGAAAGTCTATTGAGACTTTTATCTCCAGTTAACTGCTAAAAACCCCCCAAAAACTAGAACTAGAGTTGTGGCTCAAGTGGCAGGTAGACCACCAGCCGAGTGAAAAAGCCCAGGGCTGAGTTTCAAGTCGAGGGCCAATAAATAAAAGCACCAATAAATAAAAACGCACAAATAAATTCTCTTAGCACAGTAACAATTTTTAAAAAGCTGTTTATAAAATCTACAATTAAGATGTTATAGTAACTTCAGGGAAGAACAATATATTTATCCATTACACAACATTGATCACATAAGGATTTTGATATGTTGGGGGTAGCTCACTATTGTGACCTCTGCATACCTTGAATATGGAAAGTTTCCTGAGTGTAAGGGACAAAGCTGGATTCAGTAGCACATTTCTAATGTTCCTTTTTTATTTTTGAAGCTGAAGCTTGAACCCAGGAGTTGGAAACATGTTTTGGCAACATAGGGAGACTCTAGTCTCAAAAAGACAAAACTTAAAACATGGGCAGCCTTATGCCATCATTTGCCCTGTTCTTGGAATGATGCTGGTAAGGTTTCCAGTGACTACAAAGAACTGCCTAGAAAAGGTGTCTCTTAAGAGCCAGGACATACCCTACTTATCACTTTCTTAAATTGCATTTTCCTTCCTCTTCCTCACCAGGCTATTAGCTCCAGACTGTGAAATCATACAGGAAGTGGGAAAACTCTATCCTCTGGAGATTGTATTTGGAATGAATGGAAGAATATGGGTTAAAGCAAAAACCATCCAACAGACTTTAATTTTGGCAAACATTTTAGAAGCATGTGAACATATGACATCAGAGCAAAGAAAACAAATCTTTGCCAGGTTGGCGGAAAGTTGATATATGTGGACTAATAGTCAGATAAGCCAAGAGAATGGATTTCATGGAGAAACTTTCAGGTAAACTTATGTGTTCAGAAGACAAGATGTGAATGTTCATGCCATCTTTTAGAATTGAATAAAATATTTTTTATACAATAAAGTTACTAAAAGTTACTTTATATTTGATGTTAACTCTTTTAGTTTTGCTACCTATCGCTTTTTATAATTCAATAGAATTATGGCATTACAATTATCTTCTGATTAAAACTAGGGGAACATCTGGCCCTCAGACAGGATAAGGCCTACAAAATCATTTGGTACATGACAGAACAGACCTGTATGTTTCTGGTCAACTGCCCACAGCCTGTATGTCAGTATTAATAATTTTGTATGGTCTTCCAATGATGTTATAAATATCCAATAATCCTAGTTAGAAAAAAAAGATTCCTTAGCCATGAAATGTCAAATACATATAAATTATATAGGGAAATTATAAACAAATCAAAGTCATTTGTAACCGTCAGCACCAGAATATACAATATCTAGTAATCATGTTTACCCTGTGTATTGTTCCAAGTGCTTTTACATAGATGAACCCATTCCAGTGACTGTGGAACATACTCTTCATCAAGTAAAATTGAGTCACAGAATTAAGCACATACATTCATACTCACTACATGTATGTATGTTTTCAAACTGGAATTACAGGGTAACACTATTAAGTTTACATTTTGGCTGTATTGTTTTTGACCTTAAAGCTTTGCACTTGCTAGTCAAATGCGCTGCCACTTGAACTATGTCTCTAGTCCCTTAAAGATAGCTTACTCTGTTACATACTTTATTTACTTCTAACAAAATATATATTTCATAATTCTTAAAATTCAGTAATTTTAATTTTCATATTATAGGATATTTTGGAAATTTTCATTTTTAATTTTATGTAATAAAACAGTATGATGAGGATTTCTGAAAGCAATGAGGTTTAAGGTTGGGCATTATAGACAAAGGGAACAATTTCCACTATTTTTAACAAGATTTGGGACCAGAAGTCATTCCTTGAAGGCAAACAGAAAACTACCTGTTTGACTTTTGGATAAATGGGAAAGGTTTGGGATAAAGTTGGAGAGAAAATCCTATACAGTTTACTATATAAGCAAAGTCTTTACAGATAAAAATGAAGACTGTCAGTAGATAAAAGTTGAGCAGTTTTAAATCAGTTTTATTTGAGATGAGTTCCTTTGAGAGCTAGAATGCATTTTTTTTTTTCGGTCCGGTCATGGGGCCTGAACTCTGGGCCTGGGTGCTGTCCCTAAACTCTTCAGCTCAAAGCTATCGCTCTACCACTCTTGAGCCACAGCACCACTTCCAGCTTTTTTCTTTTTTGCTTATGTGGTGCTGAGGAATCGAGCCCAGGGCCTCATGCATGCAAGGCAAGCACTCTACCACTGAGCCACCTTCCCAGCCCCTAGAATGCATTTTCTTAAGTTGCAGTCAGTGTAACCAAGAAGTTAACCCAACTGACGAGAACAACTAAAGCAATTATATCTAAAACACAAGAAAGGGAATAAATTTGTATACTAAGAGGTAGGTTATCTGACAAGCTCATGTGTCAGAGTGCAGCATATTTTCAACTTAGATTTATTGATGTTTTTGCTTTTCAATTTGATCTATTAGTTTGTGAGTCTGTGCACATGTGAGTATAAAGCTACTTTGTACAGAGCCCAACAGGATACAAAGCCACTCACTCAAAAAGCCACTCACTCAAACTGGAAGCGAAGCCCTCCATGTCCATATTATGAAACAAGGGAAAATAGGATATAAGCCACAGGAGAAACTAAAGTGCTGTGTGTGCTGGGCCAGGCTGGTGGTGCCAAGATTATGTGTAGCACATCACTAAGCATGGGAAGATCAATGTGCTCAGTGGAGCTGGAGAAAGCCAGGTAATTTTTAAGCTACTTCAGTGAAAAGTTGATAAAGCAGTGTTTATTTAATAATTTAAACAATGATTTTTCTAAAAGTTCTTTCAGAAATATACATGTAGATATACAAAGGATGAATTAACAGATCCAAAGCCATGTAATTTGAGGGCTAATTCCTTGTTATGTAAACATTTTTTAATTGATTTATTTAGTTGGTTTTGGGACTTGAACTCAGGGCCTGGGTGCTGTCCCTGAGCTTTTTCACTCAAGGCTAGCACTGTACCACTTTGAACTACAGCTCTACTTCCGGTTTTCTGGTGGTTAACTGGAGATACAGAGTGTCAGACTTTCCTGTCCGGGCTAGCTTTAAACCATAATTCTCAGATCTCAGCCTCCTCAGTGGCTAAGGATTACAAGTGTGAACCACCAGCACCTGGCTATGTAAACGTTTTATAAACTTGACATTCAGCAGGAAAGTTCCTGTGAACTAGGCACTGTGGATAAAACATGGTCCCTGATATTAGCCTATACTACAAACATGGAGGATGTCAAGTAAAGGCAAATGCCACTGCCACCTTTTACCCTGTTCTTTTATCAAGACATCTCTGGAACTTCACCTCCTGTAGCTACCCATCATTCCACTGAATTCCGAAGAACATAGCCCTTTCCTGATGATACTCCTTTCTTCAATGCTTCAGGCCAGTTGTGAGTCTCAAAGTAAGTGGACAGAATATCAAATACTGTTAAGAGAGTAAACAGAATATACAATGACCATACAGGGAAAAGAACTAGGAAATAAACTAATGAGAAAAGGGTATTCTGGAATATTTTACTGAACGAATGTTCTCTGCAACACACATGGTATTAGGTCTTAGGGGACAGAAGCAAGGAAAAGATCTGCCTGTTCACAACAACCTCAACCTACACCTAGAGACAGGCTTGTGAATGGACAGTACTACAACACAGTAACACAGTTCCACAGGAACAAAGAAAACAACTACATGGCCATCAAGAGGGAGGGAAGCTCCAGCTAAGATGTTCCTGCATTGAATCCAGGATAACAAGAAGTGAGTGACTGGCTAATAGGAGCTTTGAGGGTAAGGCATTCTAAGTAAAGAGAACAATTGCAAGTATCTAACACAGTTAGAGACCAGGGAAAAAAATGAATGCCTCTCAGTGGCCAGAATAAAGGCCACAAAATGCACACAATGAAGTCTAGTCATATAAGTTACAGGAGGCCTCTAGAGTTAAAGAGGTATTTATACTTAAAACATGCAAGCGAGTTGCTGGTGGTTGATGCCTGTAATCTACCTAATCAGTAGATTGAGATCTGAGGATCCCAGTTCAAAGCCAGCCTGGGCAGAGAGGTATGTGGGACTCTTTATCTCCAATTAATCAAAACAAAAAACTGGGAATGGGGCTGTAGCTTAAGTGATACAGCACTAGCCTTTATCGAAAAAGCTCAGGGACACACACACATACTACATGCAAGGTAGCCTAAGAACTAGCATACATTGGGTATGGATCATGTGAGCAGTACCTTGATTGATAGCCAGTATCTCTGAATGATAGTTTTTCTCATTCTGGCACCTAACCATGTATTCTTGGATTGGCAAACGGGCTGTCTTGACAGAGTGCTCCCAGGCCTTTTGAAATGTTACCTTCTGTAAATCACAGTTAAATATCTTCATTATAGAAATTATACATCAATATATTCTGATTATAGTACACATAGCAAATCAGAGGATTCCAATTAAAAGCCAGTTTTGGGGAAAAAAGTCTGGAAACCTCATCTCCAAAATAACTGGGAAAAGCTGGGCTGGAGTCATGGCTCAAGCTGTAGAGCGAAAAGACTTCAAATAGAAACAAAAAAGAAATCTGAAAACCCTACTGAGTTCAAAGTTCTGGAATAAGATATGTCAGCAGAAGTTAGTATGGGAAATAGAAAATTAGTCCCTCACCAAGAGCAAACTGCTGAATATTGAGTCAATGCTTATTTGTTCAAGATCAGAATTATTTTTTCAGAACTAAAGAAGCTCAACAGTGGCTAAGTATGTAATTACAAACTAATGCTGATTCCTGATTTTTGTTAGGAATATGGACATAGCTGCTGAGAAGAGGGACTTCCTGGGGCAGGACAGTGACTTTAGGAAGAGCTATCTCTCCTCTAAGCTCCTGAGCCCTTTAGGAAAGAGGCAAAAAGCCTCTAAAAGTACCTTTCAGAAAATAGATTTTGAGGCTAAAATCTTACCTTCTGAATGCTTTCATCCACAAGCCCACCAAGAATGTAAACTTTGTTTAGGTCAATTTCTTCAAGAGCTAATAAAAAAATGAAATAGTGGTTTATAACTTCTAAATCCAAAGTAAGCAAAAGGAAAACAATATTAACAATAAAAGGCGAAATTTAATGAACAGAAAACAAAAATATAGTAAACACAATAAAACAAAATATTGATTCTCTGAAAATACCAATAAAAACAGACAACCTGTTGACATATCTAATGAAGAAAAAGGTAGGAAATCCAAATCAACATGAGATTCAGAAAAGGAGCAATATTAAAACTACAGAAGAATGTAATTAGAAGGGAATATCATAATCAATACTAGAAGTTTTGAAAATTATGTGAAATAAGATTTTTTTTTTTTTGTCATCTGTCCTAGGCTTGAACTCAGGGCCTGGGCTCTGTCCCTGAACTCTTTTTGTTCAAGGTTAGTGCTCTACCACTTTGAACCACAGCACACTTCCAGTTTTCTGGTGGTTAATTGGAAATAAAGAGTCTCATGGACTTTCTAGCCCAAGTTAGCTTTGAACTATGATCCTCAGATCTCAGCCTCTTGAGTAGCCAGAGGTATGAACTACCAGCGCCCAGCAAATAAATGATTTTCTAGGAAAAAAACTTAACATTGATCCAAGGATGCAATAGTGGGAGCTGACCAGGGAACCTGGGTCGCTGGGCAGAACATGAGGTCCAGTTGAGAAGAAGGTCCAAATCTGTTTCCAGTGCATACTTGGTAGATGCAAAGCATGCAGTGACTATGTACCTCCCCTTTTTCAGATACTCCTTAAGTGGCTTAACAAACTGTCACAGGAAATAATGAAATAAAGAACTAGGAACAAAAGTACTATATGAATCCATGCAGTTATATACGTACCGTGTTCGGAATCAGGAGTCAGGTACACAAGGGTTTCCAGAGGAAATAAACTAAAGCAGTCGTCTTCGGTTATGTCTAGCTGGAAAATGCAAAGTATCTAATGTAATAGGAATGAGGTTAAAATGTAGCTCACAATTCAACTAGTAGTTACTAAGTAACTAGTTACTAGGTTTCTCACAGGTATGTGTGTGTATTTTATTTATTTATTTATTTGTTTGTTTGTTTGTTGATTGTGAGGCCTGAACTCAGGCCAAGTGCTGTCCCTCAGCTCTTCAGCTCAATGCTAATGCTCTACCAGTAGAGCCACAGTGCCACTTCCGGCTTTTTTCTGTTTATGTGGTGCTGAGGAATCAAACCCAGGGCCTCATAGCATGAGAGGCAAGCACTCTACCACTGATCCAACTTCCCAGCCCACTACTAGTGTATATTAAAACTTCTCAGTTGGAGAAGGGATCTTAGAAAAGCATAGGCATTGAAACATTGAATTGAGAACAACAGTGACATGGGGCTCTCACACAGGGACAGGGACATGTGCCAGGACTATGGTAGAGGAGTAACATCAACAGGGATGACTTGTTGAGATAAGATTCACATATGAAAGGGAAAGAATTCAACCAAGGAAATCATCTAGGAAAAGCAAGAAGGCAGAAAAGCAAGGGAACCCCATAGCCCTAGAAATGGGTCCATTTGGCTTACATACAAGAATCACAGAAAAGTGCAGAGAATGAAAACTGGAAATGGCTGTATTACAGGGGAGATTAGTAGGACAGTAATAGCAGCACCACCTAGTGCATCCCTCATGCTCATGGCCCCGATGAGCCTCCCTAGGAAGGCTGTGATTGCTCAGTCCCAGCTATACTGTACAAATACTACATTTTCAGTGACATTTCTTAGAAACTGAGCTGAAGTCTCACTTGCATATCTGTTACATTTATGAGATCCTAGGCAAAGAGTGGAAAAGACTTAGTATTACCTATAACTTGTCAAATCCATACTACTTCTAGAAGCATTTTTTTCTCTTCATCTAAAAATCATGTTTCCTAATTTCACACTGAGAGTGTGTTAGGAGTTAGGAGAGGAATTAGGACATTTTCCAAAAAAACCTCCCAAAACTGGAATATTCCCTTGAAATCTACAGGGGACTGGTAAGCTATGCATACCCTCATCTCTAGATTACTGTGGAACCCACAGAGTACTAGCTATAGATCAAAATATAAAAAAGTAAAACAAAGCAAATACTATTACCCTATTGTACTTTTTAGGAAATATAAACAACCTGCAAAAAGGTACTTACCAGGTAAGTAGAAAATCCATCATTCATCCTCAAACATTCTTTGTAGAGAGGACTGTCACTTGTGAATCCAGTGAGGTAGATCCAAAAGGGCCTGTCAGCTTTTCTGTTTGAACCGTACAACCTTCGGATCTGTCCAGCCAGCCTACTCAATTCCTTCAAAGGAATATGGACAACTCAGATTGGAGACATGCTAGCTTACTCTAAATACACTATCATGAACAAGTTCAATGAACCCTACTCCAGAAAGGCTACATCCAGAAGGATGGCTTCTCCAGGGATGACCACACACATGTTACACCCTCTAACCATTACAGCTTAACAGATGAAAGTTAATGAAACCTGAACTCCTCCACCTACTGACCCTGCTACTGTCTATTTAGTATGATACATGAAATTCACTATGTGATATGTATGCTTTAAAATAGAGATGACCAAAATTCTTATACTCCATCAGATACATTTAGCACCTTTCTCCCTAACTTCAAGAGATGCTACAGGGTTGGAAGCTTTAACTTTCCTTTGTTTTCTAGAAGGTTGTTTCACAGCTTAGTCTAAATTTGTTCAACAGAGAAATTGATTCATCTGATTATCTCAGCTAATCTTGTTAACTCCTTCAGAGAGCTACAGAGGTTCTATGAAAGAACTCCAACTCCACTCTGAAAAACATACAGACACCAGCACATACAACAAGGAAGTCTGAAAATAGATTTGTTTGAAATTTATATACTGTGGAATAAGACCTAAAATTGAGGCCCAGTAGTACCTGGCTGCCTTGACTTCTGGTGAAGGATTTTAAATGGCTCAGTTCAAGTTCCCCTCAAACTCTACTCCCACAGATAAGATTAGCAACCTCACTTAACACTCCACTAACAGACACAAACAAATAAGATTAGCAATCTCACTTAACACCCCACCAACAGATACTAACATTGAAAATATATGAAATAAGAGAAGCCAGGCATGGTATATTCCAGAAGCAGAGGCAGAAAAGAGATTAAGTTTAAGGTCAGCCTGGTCACTTAGTGAGGTTCTATCTCAAAAACAAGACACAATAATCAAATGGTAAAATGATGGCAAACACAAGAACCTAAGTTCAACTCAAGAGTGTGTAAGAGAGGAGAGAAGGGAGAGAGGAGAGAAATGAGAGACTCAGTGAAAACTGATGGTTACTTGTAGAGAAAGTCTACCATGCAACAGAACAGGGCTTCTCAACTTCAGCATTATTGGCATGCTGCAAGACTGCTCTGTGCATCACAGGATGTGTGGTCTCAACCCACCAGGAATCAGCATCCCTACTGACTCAAGGGTGTGGCAACCCAGAATGTCTCCAGATGCTCCCAGTTTCAGTTAGGGTTTTCCTGTTTTGTTTTTTTTTTCAGTTAAATTAATTTTTAAAATAATCTTTAAATTGTTATACAAAGGGGTTTCAATTCAACACATCAGTTTATGAGTACTATATATCTTTTTTTTTTCTTGCCTGTCCTGGGGCTTGAACTCAGAGCCTGGGCACTAACCTTGAGCTTTTTGCTCAAGGCTAGCCCTCTACCACTTGAACCACAGCACCACTTCCGGTTTTTTCTGTTTATGTGGTACTGAGGAATTGAACCCAAGGCTTCATGCATGCAAGGCAAGCACTCTACCACTAAGCCACATTCCAAGGCCTCTTCTTTTTTTGTTGCTGTTGTTGGTCATGGGGCTTGAACTCAGGACCTAGGTATTATCCCTGAGCTCTTTTTACTCAAGGCTAGTGCTCTACCACTTTGAGTCACAGTTCCACTTCTGGTTTTCTGGAGTTGGAGATAAAGAGTCTCACAGACTTTCCTGTCTGGGCTGGCTTTGAACCTTGATCCAGAGATCTCAGTCTCCAAAGGAGCTAGGATTACAGGTGTGAGCCACCAGCATCCAGCTCAAGTACTATGCATCTTAATCTGTCACTTTTTCTACCATTCTCCCCCTATGGTTTTTGTTTTTATCTTTTTTGTTGTTGTTCTACATAGTTATAATAGGTTCATTTATTGATCTGCCTATCATTTCATGAAAATCGTGTTTTCTTCCTCCTCTTTTTTGTTTTTGTTTTTTGGTTTGTTTTTGTCAATCAAGGGGCTTGAACTCTGGGCCTGGGCACTGTCCTTGAGCTCTTCAGCTCAAGGCTAGCACTCTATCACCCACTTTACCACTTCTACTTTTCTGGTGGTTTATTGGAGATAAAGAGGTCTCATAGCCTTTCCTGCCCAGGCTGCCTTTGAACCATGATCCTCAGATCTCAGCCTTCTGAGTAGCTAAGATTTCAGGCATGAGCCACTGGCGCCTTCTCTTCCTGTTTCTTTGTTTTGTTTTGCCTTTTTTTTTAAATTACCAAAGCTGGCCTGGAACTCATGGGCTCAAGCACTCTTCCCACCTCATTCTCTCAAGTACGTGTTCCTCAGCACAGGCATAAGCTATATTTCCTTGCCTCGGGGACAAAATCTACACAACAATACTACCTGCAGAATATCCTAGATTCTTGGCAGGAATCTCTTCTATTTTCAGGGCCTTCTGTAGCTCTAGGTTAAGAAACCCAGTACACAGTTCTACAGTTCTACAACTCTGTCCCTATCCAAGATTCTCATTGCCCCAGACCAGCCTGGCCTGTAGCTCAAATTCTGTACTTCGTCTGCAGAACTCTCCATCCACTCTGTGGAAACAAACTATCATCAAGGCCCAATACTGGGCTTTCCATGGACCTCTGCTCCATCCTGGTCCATCTCTACCTGGCCCAAGCCTGTTGGCACTGACTCGTTACCAGCTCATCTATTCTGCATGACACATTTTGTTTCCTCACCCACCATGTAAATTCCTAGAAGAAACCAGCTTTGTCAGGCACTCAGCTGCTTTTTAATCCTCTTGCATTGAATGTGACATTGAACCCTTGCCAGAGGCTTCCCTTCCCATCTGGTTTCCTAGTCACTTCCCAACACCCCTGTCTAGCCACTTCTCCAAATCTTCCCACTTACCACTAAAGTCTTCCCAGACTCAGTTCATAAAAACCTTCTCTATAAAGGAGATGAGAAATAGTTCCTGCTTATCCCTGAGTACCACGTTTTAGTTTCTACCAGCCCATGGAACTGTCCAGACCAAGCAACCAACCAGAGAGCACTTGCCCTCTTAATACAACAAAGCCCACACCCCACAGGCCCTGGTAGTTCATTCTGTTCTCAAATCAACCCTACAAGGCCTTGTATAGTATGCAACAGCCTCCTAACCTTGGGTTGTGAGGGTATAAGACTAATAAACTGCCTTCAGTCTCCTCTGTCCACTATCAGGTAGCATCTATTCAGCCACCTCCAGAATCCCGGTAGAAGTCCCTCATGAATGGGATGAATGAGAAAGATACAAAAATGTATTAAAACACATACCCAGCAAGAAGACATTCCACCAAATAACCTCCCCACAACATGCTATGAAGCAAATATTCCCCTTTCATGCCAAATGACAAAGAGTCAGATGGAATCTGAAAGGTTCCATCCAGATCAGGCCATGAACAGAGAGGCAAAGGTGGTAGCTACAGAAAACCAAGTAAAATTTGCAAACAAAACCTAGGGCCACATATTCTCACCCACATTCTTCCCAACAGCCATCTTGGAACTAAGTGGCTCAGTGTAGAAATCCAAATACTTCTGGAAAACTAAAGAGCTCCAGATGCTGGCAGTGGTCATTCTCTTTGTAAAGGCTCTACCCTCCTGGGCTTAGTGCATGTTCTACCTTCTTTGTCATGTGGTTGGTCATACTCAAATCCACACATAGTCTTGGTCCTGAGTGTTTGGCCTCCAAAAGTTTCTCTTTGGTCAGGGCTCTCAGAAAACGTTTGCTGTGCTGGGGGCAAATGCCTATGGCAGAAATATAAAAAAAGGAGAGGGAATACAGAGGAACAGTGTTTTGTAAAAAACAGATCTCTTTTTTATATCTTTGCATACTGAGAGAAACTTGTGACTTCTACAGGTATTCATTCATTAGATCGAACATGTATGGTAGACCGGTACAGAGTGTGTAACCTGGAGCATACTATGTTTAAATCCAACTTCAGTTTGTTCAGCCAACATTTGCCAGAGGCTTCCCTTCCCATCTGATTAATTTATTAACTAAATTATCTTTGGCATATTATTTCATTTATCTGGGCCTCTATTTCTTCTACAAAATGAGATATAACAGCACCCACCCCTTCAATTCTTAGAACTGAACCTAGTACATAACACTGTATACATGTTGGCTGTTTGAGGTATTCTTTCTTCTACTTTCCAGCTTATAAATACACATGTCCTCCTGACTGTAAAAGAAGGTCTGTTGGAGAGGAAGAACTAATGGGTGAAGAAAGGGAGGAGGAGAGGGGAATAGAGGCTGAATATTATAGATGTGTATTATATATGTGTATGAAAACAGTACAAAAAAACACCAAAAACCATTAGAAGGGAGTGAAAGGATTCAGAACAAGTGATATCAGTGCAGTGAGTTTGATCAAAGTACATTGTTTGTACATGTGAGTATCATAATGCAATCTCTTTGTGTAATTAATTTATGCTAATAAAATGCTAAACACAAGCTAGGATGTACCTCAGTGGCAAAGTGCTTGCCTAGCAAATACAACATGCTGAGTTTGATCCCCAGCACCAAAAGCAAAAGACAAAAAAAAAATACTAAACACTATATGTGTCTACTAGACAGCTATACTTAAAGGGTCATCTTAAATTTTGCTTTGTGGTCCTTTGTTTTCCAGTAAAACCAGATTAAGTCCTACCCTTCAAGGCAACACTAAAAGTAGATACGATAATCAATATTCTCACTTATCATTACCTGGATTTTCTGCACGATTGGCTTTTCTTCTTTCTTTTTCTTGTTTTCTTTTGCTCTTCTTTGCTGCAACTATCCTTTCCCAATGTCTCTGTTTTCTCTGGACATTTTTCTTATCCAGAAAACAAAATTGTTTGAGAACTTCATAAACACCAAAAAGGAAAATGAATATTAGGAACAGCTACTCATTTTTTTCATTTACATATAAAGAGAGGAAAAGTTTTTTTTAAAAACAAATCTAAGGCCTGGGAATGTGGCTTAGTGGTAGAGTGCTTGCCTAGCGTGCATGAAGCCCTGTGTTCAATTCCTCAGTATCACATGAACAGGAAAAACTGTAAGTGGAACTGTGGCTCAAATGGTAGCCTTGAGCACAGTGAGACTCAGAGACAGTGCCCAGGTTCTGAGTTCAAGGCCTAAGACTGGCAAAAAACAAACAAACTAAGCCAGGCAGTGACTCACGCCTGTAATCGTTGCCACTCAGGAGGCTGATAACTACGGGTCACAGTTCAAAGCCACCACAAGACGCTTATCTCCCAATTAGCAACCAGAAAACCTGAGTGGAACAGTAGTTCAAAGTGACAGAGCACTGAGCACTAGCCTTGAGCAAAAAGAGCTCAGGGACAACATCCAGGTCCAGAGTTTAAAAACCTGCCAAAACCTAAGCTGGGTGCCAGTGGCTCACACCTGTAATCCTAGCTACTCAGGAGGCCAAGCATCGTGGTTCAAATTGAGCCCCCTGGCAGGAAAGTCCCAGAGACTCTTATCCCCACTTAACCACCAAAACATTGGAAGTAGAGCTGTGGCTTAAGTGATAAAGTGCTAGCCTTGAGCAAAAATGCTCAGGGACAGCACCCAGGCCCAGCACAAAAGAAATAAAGGAAAAACAAAAAAAGAGTAGAAGGTGTTTAGAGAAAACAGAGCCCCTAATACTCTGGTTTCTCTTCAGATCGTATAAATATTTCACCTTTTACTAAAAACAGAGCCCCTAAAAAGACTTTTCAAGGACACAATAAATCATTGTGACAGGGCCAAAAGCATAATTTACAGTTCCTGACCCTTTTAAGAACTTTACCTACTTTTCTTATGATTCAAATGAAACACAAACTTTAAACCCGTTAGCAGAAAATTAATTCACCACTTAGGATATTCCAAACTTATTCCTAGCCTGTTTTGGACTTAGGACAGGGTTCTATGGAACAGGCCTCAGCAGCACCCATAACCCTCACCGAGCACCAGGCTGTGCTGCCCGTGGGGAGCCCTTCTCCGTCTTGGCGCTCGCAGTCCATGTCCATTTGCAGAAGCTGGAAACTCTCCCAGAGTCCATCTTCACCCGTGGCCTCTAGGGTGCCTTCTGGTCCTTGCAGCACTGGTGACTCCCTTCCATGAGCCCTCCCTTCCAGTTCCCCATCCATGCACCAAGTCTTCTGTCCTTTCAAAGTGGGAAAAGGCACAAGCATGTAAGATACGATATAATTTCATGTACATGGTTAATTCCTGATACCTGAAAGCCAAATCTGTGTTAGTGACGGAGCAGAAGGGTATATACTGACCCATTTTTACTTTTTATTTTTCTGTAGCACTGGAGTTTAGACTCTGGGCCTGGCACTTGCTAACCAGGTGCTCTGCCACTTGAGCCATACCCATAAGTCTTTTTTATTTCTTCAGGTAAGATCTTACATTTCTGCCCAGGCCTAAGCTCAGACCAGGATACTCCAACCTACAGCTTCTGCAAGACACTGAGTCCAAATCTCTATCCCAGTAGACTGTCAAACAAAACCAAACCATCCTTTCCCTCTATCTCTGGACTTCTTCATTTAATTTTCTAGGTCTATTAAACAGACCATTAGTTTATCAAGGTGAAAGCAGATTTTACACTTTGCCACGATGATTATGTTTTGTCTAATCCCCAATAATGCTGTATTTATATTAGAACTCCAAGAGGCTCACACACTGCTGTGTCCTATAGCTCTGTTTTCTCATTGTTGATTTCATATTGTTTTGTTCATGTGCTCTAATTACTAAGTGATCAAAATTAAGCCACATTTTAGTTTTCAGTTTAGACATACTGTTTTAGATAGGCTGTTTTAAGGGGAAAATAGGCATTTTAGGATTCAGCCATGTTTTCCAGCTCCCCACTTCTGAGTAGTGAACAGCAGGTAAAACACTTAACTAGCTGTCACAGATTTGCTCAATGAGATGAACCACATCACAGAACTGCCACAAGGACCAGGTACATGTTGCTTACCTAATGAAAAACAAGGACTAGTTGTTACTGGTACTACTATCCAAAATTGTTCTAGCATTACTGTTATAGTTTTCTAAAAAATATAAGTCATCTGAGAAGTTCTGGGTATCCTCTACACATCATATGATAGAACCACTCCTAAGATGGCTGAGTAAACTATTTTCTAGATTTTCAAAATTATAGATTAGAAGTTTATATACTTTTGCCTGCCTAAAGTTTAGTTTGACTGGGCGGGGAATGAAACTTCGTGGTAGAGAGTTCTTGCCTAGCATGCATGAAGCCCTGGGTTTGATTCCTTAGTATCACATAAAGAGAAAAGCCAGAAGTGGTGCTGTGGCTCAAGTGGGAGAGTACTAGCCTTGAACAAAAAAAGTTCAAGACAGTGCCCAGCTTTTGAGCGCAAGCCCCAGGACTGGCAAAAATTAAAATTAAAAAAATAAAAAATGTGTAGTTCCACTTAGAAATCCTTATTTTAATAGTACAAATTAAATTATTTTGACTATTATTTTTTGTATGGTGCTTAGGGCTTGAACTAGGGTTCACACATAGTGGGTAAACACTCTCTCAAATTAATTCATTTATTCATTCTGCTAGCAATCAAACCCAGGGCTTTGTATCTGAAAGACAAGCACTGAAGTTCATCCCTAGCTCTCAGATTTTTTTTGTTGTTGGTGGTCTTGGGCCTGAACTCTGGACCTGGGAACTGTCCCTTCTTAGCTCTTAAGTTCAAAGCTAGCACTCTACACTTGAGCCACAGTGCTACTTCTGGCTTTTTCTACTTATGTGGTGCTGAGGATTTGAACCCAGGGCCTCACACATGCTATCACTGAGCTACCTTCCCAGCCCACTCTTGGATTTTTGAGACACCGTCTTGCTATATAGCCCAAAATAGGCTCAAATTCTCAATCCTGCTTCCCAGGTGCAAGGATTATGGGTGTGCACCATCACACACAACTACAAAAATTTAAATATTTTTACATATTATGTTATGACCATATGACCAAAAAATAAAGGGAATAGAAGCTTTAAAATAAACTGGTCCAGGACAATCCCACTTATTAGAATGACAAAAAGAACAGTAGAGCTAAAGATGTGGTTCAGTGGCAGAGCAGTTGCCTAGCATTCATAACCCCCCTGCCCTTGTTTTGGTGCTGATCCTGGGGCTTGAACTCAGGGTCTGGGTATTGGTCCCTGAGCTTTATCTATTCAAGGCTAGCACTCTACCACTTAAGCCATAGCTCTACTCCCAGCTCTTTGGATGGTGAATTGGAAATGAGTCTCACAGACTTTCCTGCTTGGGCCAGCTTTGAACCACAATCCTTAATATCAGGTTCCTGATTAGCTAGGATTATAGGTATGAGCCACAGGCACTCAGCCATAGGCCCTTTAAATAAAACCCCAGGACTACAAAAACAAAACAGAAGAGTGGTCATTTTTAACAGATCTGTGATCTTCGTCCTCCTTTGAACTTCAGGGCATTTTATATTCTTTCCTGTGTTAGACCATTCATTATGTGGCAGTCCCTGTTGGGGAATAATGGAATGTAGATACTTCTTTGGAGGAAATCTGGCTGAGAAGTGGGGGAAAAACAAACTCTGATAGCAGTAGTCTGACATGTTTTCCAAGACTGTCACTTAAAAAGTTGGAAAACTGGTTCCTTCCCCCTACCCCAAGAGACTCTTCTCTCCAATTAACCATCAACAAGCCAGACCTGGAGGTTCAAGTGGTAGAGCACCAGCCTTAAGCACAAGGGCCTGAGGTCCTGAGTTTAAGCACTGACACACACAACTAAGCTGGAAAACTTGGAATGATACTGATTAAATTCCTGAAAGGACTTTGCTAACAGTAATGTTTGGTCTTTAAAACTTGAGTATAATGGTCATCACTCTTATTTTCCTTCTTTCTTTTCCTTTCCTTGTACTGTACACCTCCCTAAATACCTTTAGTCCCTACGGATGTTTTTTATCCAAGAATTTTGGATAAAAAAAAATTGTAATCTTGAGCCAGGCGCTGGTGGCTTACACCTGTAATCCTAGCTACTCAGGAGGCTGAGATTTGAGGATCGAGGTTCAAAGCCAGCCCAGGCAGGAGAGACCGTGAGACTCCTATCTCCAATAAACCACTAGAAAACCGGAAGTGGCGCTGTAGCTCAAGTGGTAGAGTGCTCACCTTGAGCTGAAGAGCTGAGGGACAAAAAAAAAAAATTGTAATCTTGAAAGTCATCCCAACCACTACTCACAAAGTCTATCATTATAATATGGCACTCCTGAAGGCAGATACAACCACTCTTTCATCTTTGTCTATGATGGGCTTGCTTAAAATATAAGCTCAGTAAACACTGACTAGAGCTCCTCAGCAAGCAAAGGAGCAAATTAACATTAAGAAACACAGATCTGATGAACCTGTAATGAGACTATCAGTGCCCAGATTTAGTATTTCACTCTTAAATCAAATATACCTTCTAAAGTTAGACACTGTAGGACCCACCTATCATGAGGCTGAAGCAAGAAAATCAATGAATTCAAAGCCAGTTTGGGCTACAGAGCAAAACTATCTCAAAACAAACCACCACTATCACCACTACTACCAAAAACTTTTTCTGAGCCTTCCTTACTTCAAGAATTAGAAAGCTCCTGACACAATAATGGTACCTGCTGGAGATTTGGGGATGGCATTTATTCTGTTTTCATAGGGTTCCAGTGATCAGACTAAGCCTTATACCATGGCTGGTCTACCGGATTCTCCATACCAACCCTTCCAGGGAAGAAAAGATTAATTTTTCTGCACACCTCGAGTACTCATACTGAGCCTTGCAGAGTAAGCATCTTAGGTGTTTACTAGCCATTAATTCTTCTGTTTAGAACTGTCAACATTAAGAGAAAGCCAAAATCCACACAATGCCTCTATTGTCTACTGGACTGTCACCATATACATATGAAGATGTGTAAAGTTTCCCTTTAAAAGTAGAGACTCTTCACAGAATAAGAATTTGTGACATGTCACAATGGTAAGAAAACTTGGTGGAGATTTATTGAGTAGGCAAATGAGCAAACAGGCAAGTAGGCATGTAGACAAACAGGAGGGCAGAAATACACTTTAACAAAGTGTGGGTGCTCAAAAGGAGAGACATGTATTTGGCATCAAGGATATTTATATGATAAAGGGAGGGGTTCTAACTTAAAAGTTATGAAAAGACGTGTTTATCTGCTCTCAATCTTTCTTGGTGGTTGTCTGAACAACTTTTGAAATTCCTGGTTTTTGTTTACCATTCTGGTCTTTTATGTTTTGGGTCCTCCCTTTAGTTACTTTGGGGAACATTTTTCTCAGGAAGGGATGCATCCTGTTGTCTCTCTTTGAAGCAAAGACGGTGCTTCTGCGTTTCTAAATACCTTGTTTCTGAATTGCCTTCACCAGGCCCCATTTTCCCCTAAAATGACTTTGGCCCCTTAATCTTAAAGGAGGTAGATGGATGTTTATCTCCTGTATTTGCTTTAAGCTTAAATTTTATAATTCCTGGCAGCTGTTTACCATGCCTCATCTCCCCTAATCTATCCTGCCTTGGGACTATGGTCCATATAGGTCTGCCTCCATCAATTTCCTCTGCGCTCTGACTTACTTGCTGTTCCCCCACAAATACCAAGATATTCCCCACCCCAGGGTCTCTGCACTTGCTACTGTCTATACGCCCAATGCTCTTCCTTGATTTTTGTCCCAGATTCCCTTATCCCTACAATCCGGGCATTTGTTCTATTTGCGTACACGGCTCAGTAACTACTTGCTGGATTCACGCCCCCCCCCCGAGCCCCCCGATCGGATGAGCGAGTGTCCTCGCGGGTGCTGAGTGCCGGACTCGCGTTCGCCTGCACACTTGTCTCAAGTTCTCATTCTCTGCCACCCCCAACACCGGAACACCTGGAGGAACACTAAGCCCGAGGGAACCTGGGTGCCCTGGGTCGATAGGCTGCGAATGCAAGGGGAGACAGGCAAGGGAGCCCCTAGCCTGTGGAAGTAACGCTGCCTTCCCAGTACCCCACCTGCCTGTGAGCGCAGGCCCGGCCCGTGCCATACCCCACGCTCAGCCCAGCGTACCTGCTTCCGTCCTCTAGCGCAGCGTTAGCGCGCACAGCTGGTCTCGCCCACTTCCGTTTCCGGCCCACCGCCAAGGAGCATCATGGGAGTTGTAGTTTGTAACCTGGCGTCATGATGGGCGGACCCAGAATTCTGATTTCTATCTCCCGCCCTGCGCCCTGTTGGATGGCTTTCTTCTTCTTCTTCTTCTTTTTTTTTTGGATGGCTTTCTTCTATACTTGTCCTAGCGTCAGTTTTCCCTTCGGTTTGTTGATGGTTACAATCTCATCCGTTTGCCGACTTCACAGGGATCCTGCAGTTGACCAAAGTGCTCTGTTGTCTGTCCAGAACTGGACATGGCAAGACTGGGATGAAACCAAATTTTGAATGACCTACCTAAGCCTGGGGCTCTTTTCCTCTGGGTTTTGTTACAACCAGCAGGGCCCAGGAACACACACACACACACACACACTTCTCTCTGGGTATCCAGGCTCACAACAGAAATGTATTTCTGGGCTTTGACAGCAAAGGGTTTGTTGTCAGGTCACTCTCTCTCTTCTATCTCCTTTCACATATCAACAGGTAAACTGAGGCTCAGAGATAGAAATCGATTTGTCCACACCTTGTTTGGATAAAGATTATCAGCTACTCTTCCTTTCACATCTGCTGTCCTAGGAGTCTCAACCTTTCAGAGACCCTACGGTGAATGTGCCTGAACTATCTTCTCAAGAAACTAAAGCCTGGTTGGGATCCTTCTTCATCCACTACTTCTCCTCTGGTCTTTAATTTTGACAGATCCAATCCATGCTTCAAGTTGATTTTTTTTTTCGGTCGTGGGGCTTGAACTCAGCCTGGATGCTGTCCCTGAGCTCTTTAGCTCAAGGTGAGCGTTCTGCCACTTGAGCCCACAGCACCATTTCTGGTTTTCTGATGGTTAATTGGAGATGAGTCGCATGGGCTTTCCTGCCCAGATTAGCTTTGAACTGCGATCCTCAGATCTCAGCCCCCTGAGTAGCTAGGATTACAGGCGTGAGCCACCAGCACCTGACTTCAAGTTGATTCTTACTAACATGAAACATAACCCTCCCATTAGCTGTTTTCTAAAACAGAGCCAGACCAGCTCTCTTTGGCTCAGAATCTGGCCCTGGTTTTCCTACACCTGCTAAAATCATCAGGGAAGCCTGAAAAGTGGCTTTCAAAGTTTCAAAGTTGAGTTCACACACCTGCCAGTCCCTGCAACCTTGCATTCAGCCATATCTTCGCCACCCTCATGCTCTTGTGTCCCTTCACCTCTAGATGAGCTCACGGCCACTCTCCATGGGGTGCTTCCCCATGCCTGTCCCCACCACATCTATTTGTCAGATGGTTTTCTGTATCCCCTATTCTGGGTCCTTCAGTGGCATCCTGTTATACTTGGATGTAAAAATCCAAAACCTGCCTAACTGCCTGCTTCCTCCATCCTTATCTTCTACTACTCCTTTTGCTGGTCATGTTTCTTCTGCAATAGTGTTGCAATGTTTCAAATACACAAAGGATCTTTGCACATACTATTGCCTTTCCTCTCATGTTTTCTGTGTCTGGCTCTTAACCTTTAAGCCTATCTTAACCATTCTTGCTTTAGAAAGCCCTTTCCTAGTCACTAAGTAAAACTACCTCATCTTACTTCTGTCTTTTTTCTTAAAAAAAAAAAAAAGGTCACCTCAAGTCAGGCGCTGGCCGCTCACACCTGTAATCTTAGCTACTCAGGAGGCTGAGATCTGAGGATGGCAGTTCAAAGCCAGCCTAGGCAGGAAAGTCCATGAGACTCTTATCTCCAATAAACCACTCAGAATACCAGAAGTAGTGCAGTGGCTCTAGTGGTAGAGTGTTCACCTTGAGCTGAAGAGTGAGGGACAGTGTTCAGGCCCAGAGTTCAAGCCCTTTGACTGAAAAAAAAAATCACCTCTCAGGTAGTAATGTTTTTTTTTTTCTTCTCTTTCCTAGTAATCTTGTTTCTTTAGGAGACTTCCAGGTTCATGGATGTATTCCCAATGCCGCTGTGGAAAAAAATATTTGTTGACAGTATTTTTTTCTCCTTTCTTGACTTCTAAATATTACTATCAAATCTAGGGTCAGATACATGGTAGGTGCTCAGTAAATGCTTCCTTACATACCCAATTTGGATTAATATTCCCTTCTACAGCAAGTCTTGCCTGATTACTACTCTACTTCTCAGGTTAAAATTTCTCTTTCAGAGGTCTCACAGTACCTTCTCTCTTCTTCTTAGTAGTCCTGAGCACAATGTGCCTTACTTACATTGTCAAGTTTCTGTCTTTAGGTGTCATCTGACATTTACCATAGCTCTTTTTTTTTTTGGGTTGGTTGTGGGCACTGGGCACTGTCCCTCAGCTCTTCAGCTCAAGCAAGCACTCTACCACATGAGCTACAATGCCACTTCCAGTTTTCTAGTGGTTTTTATTGGAGATAAGAGTCTCACAGACTTTCCTGCCCGGGCTGGCTTTGAACTGTGATCCTCAGACCTCAGTCTCCTGGTAGCTAGGATTACAGGTATGAGCCACCAGTGCCTGGCTACCATAGCTCTTAAAAATAGAATTCTCACCCAATTGGTTATACCCATAATCCTGTATCAGGAATGAATCAGGGTGAGAAAATTAAGAAAAAGTACAAGTATCAGATAGTTTTAAGTCAATAAGCAATTGTTTCTCGCATTTTGGAGTAGGTAGCCTCATTCTATCTATCTTGTACTGATTAGTTACTAGTTGACAAGTAACTTGTAAGAGGTAGTTCTTCTTCTCTTTCTCCAAGTACTGCTTTGCCTCTGAGTAGAGAGAGCTAAAGTATATGACTAACACTTTCATTCCACGTTCTTGCTTTTGCTAAATATAGGGGAGAAGTCAGAGAACTCTGCAGGAGAAGGGGCAGCATTGAGCTCACAATTGATCAGAAACATCAGAGAGGCAAAGGGATTCTTTGATGTCTTCTACTGGTCCAAAGTGAGCCACTAAACCACCTTTAGCTGGTTTACAGAGAATCCAAGGCCAATGATGTCCCAAAGGAGTTTTGAAGTAAGTTTCCCTGAAGTGTGAAAACAAAATGTGGGGAGTGTTTTGGACTATGAGAGGCATCCTTAACATTTTAGAGTTGAGGGTTTTATTGAGACTTACTAGCTTGAGTATGTATTGTCAGGTGGAAAGTATTACTATCCTCATTTACAGAAGAAAACCAAAACACTGAGAAGTAGTTTGCCCAAGGTCTGTTATGGCTAATTAGGTTTAACTGGCTCAACTGGTATTATTAGTGAAGAAGGTATCCAATATGTTTCTTTGGTGATAACACTATTGTCTAAAAAGAAAGTATAACATATGGCTTTTATATTTTCATTTTGTATACTTAAAGTAGAAATATAGTACAAGTTGTCAATTTCAATAAAATACACACCCTGCAAGTGGTTGGCCATGCAACAGTGGAATTTACTGCCACCTAGTGGTATCTCTGTGCAGGGCAGCAAGGTAGCCAAAGAGAACAGGCTTCCTGGTGCCAGTGTAGTTAGCCAAAACTTGGTAAAGTAGAAGCTACCAACCAGCAAATATAATCACTCTTATTTGCAAAGATTATTGCCAGATTAGTGTGATGAGACAAAAACTGTTTCATTTATTCCCACCTTCTTCCCCATGTTTTTGGGACAAAATCTGTGACTTCCTCTTGCTCCTATACCCCTGGGTATGTTGATGAACATATTACTGATGACCATCTACTAATCAGTGCTTAAAAGGTCCATAAGTCTGATAAGGGTCCAAAAGTCTGAGGGACATTTGTTATTCAGTTACAATTCCCAAGTTCCTACTACAGGTCTGTACCAAAGGAAATAAAGATTTGTTAAATACATATGATGCATATTTTTTTTTCTTTTTTCTTTTTTTGTCAGTCGGGCCTGGGGCATTGTTCCTGAGCTTTTTTCCTTTTTTTCCCCCCTCAAGGCTAACACTCTACCACTTGAGCTACAGATTCACTTCTAGCTTTTTAAAATAGTCAATTGGAGATAAGAACTACAATCCTCAGATCTCACCCTCTTGAGTAGCTAGGATTATAGGCTTAAGACACGAGCACCTGGCTTTGAGTACATATTTATTGGAGGGAGGTCCAGTTGTGGGGCCTGAACTCTGGGCCTGGGTGCTGTTCCTCAGCTCTTCAGCTCAAGGCTAGCGCTCTACCACTTGAGCCACAGCACCACTTCTGGCTTTTTTCTTTTTGCTTATGTGGTGCTGAGGAATCAAACCCAGGGCCTCTTGCATGCAAGGCAAGCACTCTACCACTAAGCCACCTTCCCAGTCCCTGAGTACATATTTTTGACCCAAATTTATCACTACTGTATGAGTCAGGCCAAGATTAAGCAGCAGTTTATTTGAATACTTATATAGTAAACATTTAAAAGGAGGAGTGTGAAGGGCTCAGAAGGTTCTTTTCTGGAGAGGTCCAGGCAGAGTAGGGAGTCCCTGGATAGTTCATCTGTTCACAGGGCAGTAGAAGCCCGAAACTTTTGGGTCAAACAAAACACAGCAGCTGTGAGGGCTGTGCACTGACGAGCCAAGAGTTTTACACTCAGGTCATGGTAACCTCTCTCGCAGGTCAATTTTGCAGCTTCTACAAACTGATAGTAGGTGTAGACCACATCCCGCAGGTTCCCAGCTGCCTCCCTGTGCCGAGCGGAGCAGCGGCTGCAGTCTGTGAACTGGAAGCACAGGCCAGCCAGCTGGACTAGGTGCTGGAAGGTGTCACGCACGGCACCCTGCATCTCCTCGGGGGACTGGTCCATTCTGATCACATGCTGACAGCTTGACAGGAGCTTCTGGGAGCCCATGCACAGGCGGTTCCGGCTTTCTGAAAAGTGCCAGGTGCATTTTTCTGGGGGATGCTTGTTTCCAACTCCCCAAGAAGCTTCTAAAATGTCTTGCATCTCCAGCAAGCTCTCCATGAGTTGGACGAAGCCCTGGGGCGTGCTGGTGGGGGTGGCTTTCAGCTGTCGCAATGCCCTGGAGCAGTACTCTGGCCAGATGTGGCTTTTCCTTGACAGGGATGCTGTGCTGCAGCTGTGGGCCCGGGCAGCCCTCCAAGGCAGAACCATCGGACCCCCAGCAGGAGGTGGTGAGGTAAGAGGGGCAGTGGGGTGTGCTTGCGCACCCCTGTCTTCTTCCTCTGTCTCAGGCTGTGGACCACGGAAGCATGTGGCATAGGAGAACTGGCAGCTGCACTGCTCCATGCCCATGCCAGGGACCACCACCTCATTCACACCAGCAAAACCCAGAGACACGGCCCTTGTGAGACTGGCAGAAGCTTCTGGGTGGCTTTCTGAGACAAAGCACAGGAAAGATTTCTCAGTGGGAAGGCAAATGCCAGAAGGGTTGGCTTTGCTTTCTGACAGTTCTTGGCAATGATGTGACGCTTCTAGGTGGGGCTCCTCTTGACACAGTGGTGGCTCTGTCAGGGAAGGCGCAGGGTTTAAACATACCTGCTGAGACGTGTCCCTAGTTGCTGCATCCTCCCCTACCCCATGGTTAAGTGGTTCTGCCTTGACTTCCTCTGGAGGAGAAACTGATGAGCTGGTTTGGTCTCCAAGTAAGAAATTGGGGTCTAAGTCCAACTCTGTCAACAGTTTTTGTTCTTGGGCTTGGCAGGCTTGAACGTGGGCTTCACTGCTTTGGACTTGGGGGCTTCTGGGAAGAGGGGAAGGGGTCTTCTCAGTTCCAGGAGCCTCTAATAAGAAGGTAATTATTTCACCAGCTGGGGTACTAACACTAACATCAAGAGCCTGCAGAACAGTGTCTGACCCATCACCTCTGGAGACACTAGAATCCTTCCCTGGTCTCTCCAGAAATAGGTCAGTACTATCTTTGTTTGTAACTTCACGGTTACTTGCCACTTCTTGCTTCTCCTCTGTAAGGACAGAGGCCATTTCTCCTGAATTCATCCCACATTCACTACTTCTAGGCTCATCTCCAGGAGACAACAATGGCTCTGTGTATTGAGAGGCAGTTTCTTGCACTGGCTGTGTGAAAAAAGATCCCATTTCCAATTGGACATCTCCCAGCTCCATTGTGTCTCCTGGAGAGATATTATGTGGCTCTGGACTATCAGAATGATGGTCAGCAGTGGAGAGGGGGAAAGCACTGTCCCCAGGCTCAGTGGCTACTTCTTCAGGAGCAGTACCATCCAGGTCTTGGAATGGAGATAAGATTTGGAAAGGCTTTGTCTGAGCAACCTCAGGGTCAGGAGAACCTGGATTGGGACAGTAAGGAGCACTAGCTGAGGAAGGGTCAACAGAGGCTGCCAGAGGTGCCCCCTCAGGACTGTCCTTATTGCTGAGGTCAACCCGGAGGCGAATGGCAGAAATCAAGGACACTCGAGAGTCAATGACTGACTTGGTTTCCATGGTTTCTGGCTCCATCTCCATGACCCTGGAAGCTGGGTTTTTGCTCTTGGTCTCCCTCAGGGAAGCCAGCAGCCCCAGTGCCTTGGTCTCCAGAAGGCCTGGCTCACTCTGCATGTCCTGTAGAGAAGACACAGTAGGGGAGGGTGCACCAAGGGTCAGGTAGGGCTCCCTGTCATAGTAGCACACATCGTCCATGCTTTCCAGGGAGGCTGATGGCACCAGGGGAAAGGAGACTTGAGAGGTATAATCAGTCTGCAGGAAGGATCTTCTTTTCCTCAGGGTCTTGGCATACTTTTTCACAACTCCTCTCCTGTTTGGCTCTTTTCCATCTGGCCCAAGATATGAGTTATCTTCAGGGCTGCAAGTGCTGGCCTTTCTCTGCAACCTTGTGGCACTGGGCTCTGCAATTCTGGGACCTGGGAGTCAAGAAAGGAAAAAAGTGCCTAAGAGCAGAAAAATGAAGATCTATAGAGCTTGGGTTCAACACTTGGGCTTGCCTGGATTAAAATTCTAGCTGGGCTATATAACCTTGGGTAAGCTCGGTTTCCTCATCTGAAAGATGGGGATAACTGTGATAAAACACTTTTTTGGAGTTTAGGTCTCAGTACCTATAATTTAGTTTCAGAGAATGGCATCTCCTCAATGGTTTGCTAGACTGATATTATAATTATTATTATTTTTTTCTTTGCCAGTCATGGGGTTTGAACTCTGGGCCTGGGCACTGTCCCTGAACTCTTCTGCTCAAGGCGACCACTTGGAGCCACAGCACAACTGCCCATTTTCTGGTGGTTAATTGGAGATAAGCGTCTTATGGACTTTCCTGCCCAGGCTGGCTTTGAACCATGATTCTCAGGTCTCAACCTCCTGAGTAGCTAGGATTACAGGCATGAACCATCAGCACCTTGCCTGTAGTTATTCTTAGTGGTACTAGGTCTCACCTATGCTGGGCAAGCACACTAGCACTGAGCTATATACCAGCCCCTCAAATTATTACTGAAACTGTCCCAACACCAGCCAATTGATCACATTTTGATCCAAGCCACTCAGCCACAAATTTCCCAGAAGTTCAAATTCAAACGTGTTGATTAAAATTAATGAAAATAAGACCCATCCTTTTCAATTGTAATATCTCAATCATAGATGAGAATAATAGATGCTCCTCAGATTTCTGGCCTGGCTGTGTTCCATCTTTGAATTCAGCTCTTCAGGATTGTGCATCCTCCTTTCTACATGTTTTCTACATACTTTCTACATGCTTGCATCAATCAAGTCAGTACTTTGGGTACCAGTCATACTAGTCAGTGCTGCCAGACAAGGTAGATACTGAATTAGTGGTGTGTGTGTGTGTGTGTGTGTGAGAGAGAGAGAGAGAGAGAGAGAGAGACAGACAGACAGACAGACAGACAGACAGACAGACAGAGACAGAGAGTGTGTGTGTCCTGGGCTTTATCTCAGGGGTCTGGATGATGTCTCTGAGCTTTTTTGCTCAAGGCTAGTTCTCTATCACTTGAGCCATAGCTCTACTTCCTACTTTTTGGTGGTTAATTAGAGATAAGAGCCTCAACAGACTTTCTGCCCAGGCTGGTTTGAACCTTGATTCTCAGATCTCAGCCCCCTGAGTAGCTAGGATTACAGGTGTGAAGAATCAGCACCCTGCGTTATATACCTGACACACAGGCGTATTTCTAAGAGGCATTTACAAAAAAGGAAGCTGTTGCTTTTGTTTACCTGCGAGAGTGCGGATTGCTTTCCTGAGCCTCAGTCTCAGGTGAGGGGTTTTGAACATCCTAGGATGGATCTTTCTGAGAGAAATACTGTTGTAAAGAAGTCAGCCAGAAGGAATGCGTATCATAGTCTAGCATTTGAGAATCAGGCTCATATATTCTAATTAGACATTCCCAACCTGTCTACATAGTATCAAAAATCTTACCAAATCCTAGGCCAGCCAAGCACTGGTGGCTCATGCCTATAATCCTGGCTACTCAGGAGGCTGAGATCTGAGGATCAAGGTTGGAAGTCAGCCTGGGTAGACAAATCTAAGATTCTTATCTCTAAATTGAGGAGTAAAGGCACAGATCAAATGAAAGAGCACCGGCTTGAGTGAAAAATCTGACTGGGAACACGAGGCCTTGTGTTCAAGCACCAGTATTAGAAAAAAAAAATCCTAGGCCATTTTCCAGGCTTCCTAATTGAGAATCTCTTGGGGAAGAGGTAGCACTGAGGTACCAGTAGTTTTCAAAGAAGGCTCCACAAATGATGCTGCTTCAGCTACTCCTAGCCACTGGTCAAGGTAGTGTCTGAGGCCTAAATTAAGGGGGCAGAGTCTCCTGGCAGAGAATGGATGCCAGATCTGAACGCAGGCATACGAGTCCCAATTCTAGGCCCTCTGCTCAGAGCCACACAGTCCCCTTCCTATGAAAAACAGCTTCTAGGATGGACCTTAAGTCCTGGACTAGACACCCTTCCTCATGGTCTCTGTTGCACCCCAGCACAATGTCTGGCTTAGCATGGCAGGGGTCAGGGCCGGGTGTTGAGAGTTCTTAGGGGAGTAGTGAAGTCTAACCTTTGCTGTTCCATTGCCGATGGGCACAGCTGATTTCTGGACTCAGAGTAGATGGTGGCAAGTTTACCTATTTAGCAACTGCTCTGTGGTGCTGTGTTGAGAACAGTGTTGAGTGAGAAACACATAGTGCCTCTATTGTAGGAGCAATTTGGTCAGGGAGAGAAACATCAACATAGAATCATACAAGTAGATGCACGCTTGCAGTCAGTGCTGAACACCAGACAGGAAAAGTCCTGGTGTTGTATAAACATGTGCCTGGGATGGGAAGACCTGCCATGGGTCTGAGAAATTTTCCCTGAGAGAGTGAACCTCCAGCTGAGACCTGATAGATGGGCATCAGCAACCGAGGAGCAGGGCAGAAAGCACAGCAGGTGCAAAGGTCAGAGGCGGGAGAGAGCTTAGTGCCCTTCAACAATGGAAAGTAGCTGGGCGCTGGCGGCTCACACCTGTAATCCTAGCTACTCAGGAAGCTGAGATCTGAGGATTTGGGTTTGGAGCCAGCTTGGGTAGGAGGGTCCTTAAGACTCTTTTCTCCAAACAACTACCAAAAAGCCAGAAGATCTGGGGATCAAATGTTAGAGCACTAGCCTTGAGCACAAAAGCTCAGAGACAGTGCCTAGGCCCTGAGTGCAAGCCCCAAAACCAATGCGCGCGCGTGCGCACACACACACACACAATGAGGAGGTCTGTGTGGCAGGATGCAGAGGGGAAGCAAGGGACAGGAAGAGGCCATGTGACAGAAGGCCTCACAAAGAGAGAGAGAGAGAGAGAGAGAGAGAGAGAGAGAGATAACCTGTGTGTACACGTGTCCTGTAAAGCTGGCTTGGGAAGTCATTCTTTGTGGAATGATACTCCACACTGTTAGAAAATATATGAGAAACATGATAGAAGAAAGCCAATGGGCCCCCTGACTTCTTATGTCAGGGTCTCTAAAACCCTAAAAGGCCTTCAGCGTCACCCAATGACACAGCCATTCCCTCTGCTGGGCACTCCTGTCCAAGCCTTTTCTTCTTGGACATTTTGCTCATCCCACAAGGCCCAGCCCATTTGACACCTTATCCAGGAAGGCTTCCTTGGTTGCTACTGTGGAATGTGACCCTGTCATCTCTGCTTGTCCAAAGTTCTCCCAACCTCCCTTGCAACTCTGACCTGAAGTCACGATACTTGTGTTCGGGGTCACAGAATTGAGATCCGACTCCTCTTGGGCAAGGACCCTTTTTACTCACATGTTTTCCCCTCAAAGCTTAGCCCTGGGTCCTTAGGAGCACCTGGCCTCTGGAGGCTGCAGTGGAGGCTTACCTTCAAGGGTGTCTGGTGGTGTGAGCTTATCAGCTGCATCAAAGTATTCCTCATCTGAACTTCCATCCTCAAAGGCCAGCGGTGGGGGCAGGGACAGGACTTCCGGTGTGGTGCCAGGCTGCACTTCTATCCAGCCCTGCTGGCCCCATGCTGGTGGAGCCCCACCCTGCCGGGAAGCGGTACTCTCTGAACTGTCACTCAAGTGGCTGGCAGGGGAGACTCTGGAACATAGACTGTAGTAGTCCCTTGGGCTGTCTTCATAGAGCCTGGGGTCCAGCCTGCTCGCACTTAGCTCTGCTCCCCAGCTACAGGCCTCGGGCGCTAAGCCCTGGGGACATTCTGTCTTCTGGCACAGAGGGCTGACACTCTCTGCCAAGTCTAGGAGACAGAGGAAGCTGCTGGTCTCAATCCTGCTCCTCTCTTCTTGACTATCACAATCCAGACCCTCCTGGAAGCCTGGAGAGCTGAAGTGGAAAAAACCGGACCTGCTGGAGGAGCAGGTGTCCAAGTCATCCTCTTCCAGGGCATTTATGGACTCGCTTGAGCCGCTGGTCCTGCAGCCCCTGCTCTCTGTGTTGGCCGAGTCTGATGCCTCAGACTCGGCACTGTCTGTCATGCTGCTGGCTCCACTGGTACTTGGGCCCCTCCTGGCCACCTCAGGCGTGGAGCTGTCCCCAGGAGGTGGCTCATCTTTAGCAAATGTTCTACAGAGACCCAACTTTACCAGGCGGCGGTCAGAGAGGGACTCCAGCACACATTCCACTTCCGAGGACTCCTCTGAGTCACTGCAGGCTCTAGACTCATAGCCTGTAACACAGGAGGTACTGAAGGTTAACACTCAGCACTCAGGACTGGCAGACGCTTATAATCCTCCTGTCCATTCCCTTACCTACTCCTGACAAAAGGGAAAACTGAGTTAGGCACTGGTGGCTCATGCCTGTAATTCTAGCTACTTAGGAGGCTGAGATTTGAGGATCATGGTTTGAAGCCAGTCTAGGTAGGAAAGTCCATGAGACTCTTATCTCCACTGAACTACTCATTAAAAAAAATAAAATAATATAGAAGTGGAGCTGTAGCTCAAGTGGTAGAACACTAGCCTTCAGCAAAATTCAGGAATAATGCCTAGGCCCTGAGTTCAAGCCCCAGAACTAGCACAAAAAACCTTTTTTTTCTTGCAGGGGTAGGGGGGAATATACCTATAGTGAACATATACACAGGCTTATTTATTGTTATCATTCCTTAAACAGCACAGCAGAACTATGCACTGGGTAATCTAGAAGTGATTTCAAGTATGTAGTAGTATATGCATGGAGTATATACAAATGCAATAGCAGTTCATAGAAGGAACTTGAACATCTTGGGATTTTGCTATCCAAAGGTTCCACGCCCTTGCCCCCCCCCCCCAGGTCATCGGCTTGGGCACTGTCCCAGTGCTCTTCAGCTCAAGTCACATGCTCTACTGCTTGAGCCATATACCATTTCCAGTTTTCTAGTAGTTTATTGGAGATAAGAGTCTCAGACTTTCCTGCCCAGGCTGGCTTTGAACCATGATCCTCAGATCCCAGCCTTCTGAGTAGCTAGGTTACAGGCATGAGCCACCGGTGCCTAACTCCAATCTCCACAGGTAACATGAATGGCTGCCTTTTACTGTATCTGACTGCTTATTGTCTGAAGGTGATTTATGCTTATTTTATTTGTATGAAAGAAACACAATATGATGGTGCATGCCTTGACACCTCTTCCCACCTCCACATGATATGACATCATGTTGGCAGCCATGGTGGGAGTGTTTGTACAACAGAATCAGGTAACTGTTTCAAGTCATGGTTTATTCCCCTGCAGAGACAATCATTAAACAATCATCAGCACACCATTGGGGACATGTGTGTCATTGAACAGAGCTGAAGAAAAGCCTGGTGGGAACTGGATGTGGCGTAGGAACCTGCCTATCTCATTTCCTCATTCCTTACTGAACATGTTTTCAAGTCTTTTAAAAACCAAACCAAAACCAAGCCAAAACCAAACAACAACAACAAAAAAAAAACCACTTCCAGCTTGGTGCTGGAATCCTAGCTACTCAGGAGGCTGAGATCTGAGGGTCATGGTTGGAAGCCAGATGGGGCAGGAAAGTCTGTAGGATTCTTTTTTTTTTGGAGGGGGGGGTCCGGTCGTGGGGCCTGAACTCTGGGCCTGGGCACTGTCCCTCAGCTCTTCAGCTCAAGGCTAGTGCTCTACCACTTGAACCACAGCACCACTTCCAGCTTTTGAATCGAACCCAGGGCGTCATGCATACAAGGCAAGCACTCTACCACTGAGCCACCTTCCCAGCCCCAAGTCTGTAAGATTCTTATCTCCAATTAACCTCCACAAAATCCAAAGTGGACCCCTGGCTCAAGTAGTAGAGCACTATAGCCTTGGGCAAGTGTCCAGGCCCTGAATTCAAGCCCCATAACAACAACAACAACAAATATTCTAGTGACTCTTTCTTCTAAATGTGCAAGTTGGAATTTTCTATTGTAATTCAAGATAATGCACAAGAGTTCACAGGCATGGAGGGGAACCAAGTCATCTGCTTTCTGAAGAAAGATGTGTCACCTCATTTCTAAGACATGATAATAAGAGACAGTGGATCTTAGAGATACTATAGGAAATGCTAAAAGGGAATCAGAGACTTTCAATAGCATCCCTGGACTTTAAGAGAATTTCAGGTACAAAGGAAGCATCGCTGGTATTTATCATCTATGTTCTGTTTACTTGGAAATAAGTGGAGAAATATCTCTCATCCAGTTGAAGTTTTGGCTCAACTCAATTCATCACTCCATTTAGGCTTCCTTTGTCTACAAGGCCAGTGCTTTTTGGATAAGACTCAGAGTCCTACCTTCTTCAGCAGATACTCGGTGCGCTTGCTGTCTATTTCCAGGCCAAAGGAAAATGGTGGCAACTGGGTCAACAAACAGTCTGTAGTACCCAGCAATCAGGCAGGCTAGGTCTTTTGCACTGTTGGATTCCAGCAGCAACGTCAAAACCTTTCAAGTCAAGGAGAACTTTTCTGCTTATTAAAGGCCAAGGGGCAACAAAGCCTTGCAATCTTCAAAGGAAGATTCCAAGTAAACCTAGCCATGATCTTTGTAGTGCTCCATATTCTTACCTGTAAGACTCTAAATACAGTATGGACACACACACACACACACACACACACACACACACACACAAATAGTTCCTCTCATTGACATGTCTCCTCTCTATTTTCTACCCCAGCCTCACACTCTACCCTGCTCACTCATACAATGGGAACTCTTTAACACTTGACCCAGAAAAGGAAAAGGAGTAAAGACAAGTGTAGAGTGAAGAAGAAGATGATAAGGAGGACAAAGTATCATTCTTGGCACAATGAATTAGGCCAAAGGAGAGAAGGATAAATGTAGAACCTTCCAGAGAGGCTCAAGAATTACCCTGGACTATCCATTTTAATTTCTACCACTTGCAACCCTTAGGCAGCCATTCTGGTACCCACCCACCTCTAAGAACTCAAGAATTTTTTTTTTTCTTTTGGCAGTCATGGGGCTTGAACTCTGGGCCTGGGCGCTGTCCCTGAGCTCTTCAGCTCAAGGCAAATGCTCTACCACTTGAGCCACAGCACCACTTCCGGAACTCAAGAAATTTTGAGTTCAGAGCTTTCCATTAGGAAAGCCCACGGTATAGCTCAGCTTAAACACACACACACACACACACACACACACACACACACACAACAACAACAACAAACAACAACAACCCTTCTGGGTCCTTCTTAGGATTACACCATTTTTGGTGAGATGGGACAGGATGGATAAGACATCCTTATAAGCAGATGTGGAACATTAAACTTTATTACTATTCAAAACTCATCTAAACTACCCTATAATAATTTATCTTCTAATTTCAGAAAAGTCTGCTGTTTTACCTTAATATCCTGAAGATACACTTTAACCATGCTCACTTTCTCAGACTCTTCTGTCAACTCAATGCGGTTGATGCTGGCAAACTCTGCCAGTGTAGACATGATGTTGAGTTTGCTATTGATAATTTGGCTAATTCCATACTTGGCTCCAACCAGAAGGGCAATGTAGGATTCTCTATCCTGTAACTGCAGAAGGATGGAAGGGAAATTAATTTGCATTCACAAGCTGGTGAAAAATACATTGTACATGTAAGAAATGGTATCTCCTCAGCAAATCCTTTATTCCTTCTTTAGATCCTTCCTCATCAGCATTTCCCAAACTATTGTTGATTGTGAGCTCGCTCTGTCTATAGCTAAATTGAGAAGAAATTATCTCCCATAGGACTCTTGCCAGTGAGGACTAATACCTCTTGCATAAACACAATCATTACTTTCCCACCCGTTCATGTATTCATGTATGTCCTCTTGAAATCTTCTGTCATTATTACCAAGTAAAATCTTGACCCACCTTTAAAAGTTTACACCAGAATCTACTGCCTATAGAAAACATCTACCAGGCATCAGCCTCCTCAACTCTGCTTGGTGTTGTTCCCATACCACTTTTGTTGTACTTCTCCGGCAGCAATTAGTATGTTTTTCTGCCTCCCTTCCCTTCCCCTCCTTCTTCCCTCTCTTTCCTTCCTTTCCCTTCTCTTCCTTGACCTTCTCTTTTCTTCCCTCTCTCTCTCTCTCTGTCTCTCTGTCTTTCTCTGTGTCTGTCTGTCTCTGTGTCTATCTGTCTCTATCACTCACTCTCTGTTTCTTGCCTGGACTGGCATAATAGAACTCCTGATTCTTCTGCATCTTGCCTGCCGAGTAGCTGAGATTACAAAGTTATCATTTAATCACTAGTGACAAGGTAGAGTAACTCTAGTACATGGTAGAGTCCTTGAGCATTCTGGGCTAAAACATATAGTAATTTGCAGAGAACTTTTAAGGTCCCACACAAGCAGGATATCCACGGTTCTCTGATACGTACCATTAAAGTCGCATTAAAGATTTTCCCACCATACGTCTTGAGTTCCCCAAGGATCTGTAGGTAATTTAAACGTAGCTGAGCAGCAGAAATAAGTTGCTGAGCAGAAAGAAAAAAAAAGATTGGTGAAGTTGGAGTTATTTACTTGCCTAAAATCCAAGCAATGTTGAGACTGTTTTCCCTGAGGTTCCTCTACAGACAAGCTGGGTGGGCTGTGACTATATTACCTTCTGTCGGGGTTCCAGCAAAGTCTGGTTCCTCTTCATGTGGTAGCTAATGGCTTTCTTGATGTCTTTGCCCTTCATGTTTCGGAGTAAAGTTGGAGATATAAAGTTCTCTATTCCCCAATCTTTTCTATCATGAGACATTGGAAACAAAGAAGACCTATTTTATAGTCTACTTGATTCGAATAAAGAAGATAATTGCATTTAACTCAGTACTTAATGTTCCCTTGACACAATTACAAGCCTGCCTCTTTCTCCAACAGAACTAAATATATCATAGATGGATGGATATAGATATATTGATACTTATTTTTTCCTCATAGGCCCGCATCACACACATTCTATAAAAATCACTGCAGCCATTTAAGGAGCCAAACCCAGATGACCTTTTGTGAACAGTTTACTCCTGGTGTGGTATGGTATTTCATTAATCTAAGCAAGAGTTCTCCATCTTTATCAAGACAATATGTGACATGATTGCATACATTTAACATACTTTCTTTTCTTTTGTTGTGCTAGGCTCAAATTCAAGTTCTTGTACATGCTAGACATTGAGATATATTTGTAGCCAAAATGTGGTTGTGTGGCAGTAACACAGAGCACCTATGAATCCCCAAGGAAAAGCTCCAGACTGGTCTTAGCAGCCTCAACCATCTACCCCCTAAAAGTGTTAAAAATACAGCATCTCAGACTCAACTTCTTAGAGATTTGAGTGAAGAAATTAGACCTAAGGTCTGTTCTATTTTTAAAATGAGGTAGGTTGGGTACAGTGACTCATACCTGTAATCCTAGCTACTCAGGAGACTGAGAGCTGAAGAATCAAAGTTTAATGCCAGTCTGGGCAGAAGAGTTCACTTGGTGCCACCTCCAATTAACCAGGAAAAAACTAAAAAACGAAGCCATGGGGGCTGAGAAGGTGCATCAGTGGTAGAGCACTTGCCTTGCATGCATGAGGCCCTGGGTTCAATTCCTCAGTACCACATAAGCAAAAAGAAAAAAGCCAGAAGTGGTGCTGTGGCTCAAGTGGTAGAGTGCTAGCCTTGAGCTGAAGAGCTGAGGGACAGCGCCCAGAC